GCGCTCGCTGGCCCGGCCCCTCATTCACGCTCGCGCCCCTGTTTCCGTCCTTGGGCTCCGCTCCCAGGTAGGGCGGCGTCCGGCGTTATCCTCCCTTTGACAAGACCGCATCCCCCAGAACCTGATCCCCGTCACTTGAGATCCCAAGCGTCCAGCCTGAGGTCCAGGAATTCAGGCACAGACTTGGAGGGGGGGGGGGCAGATACGTAGAAAAAGGGCGCCTTCCAAACGCAAGGCGTGGAGAGGACAGGGGGAGTAGACGCGGAAGTGGAGGGCCAAGGTGTGTGCGTGCGTGTGTGTATGTGTATGTGTGTGTATATGTGTGTGCGTGCGTGTATGTGTGCGTGCGTGTATGTGTGCGTGCGTGTGTGCGCGCGTGTGTGTGCGTGTGTGTATGTGTGCGTGTGTGTATGTGTGCATGTGCGTGTGTGTGTATGTGTGTGTATGTGTGTGTGTGTGCGTGTGTGTGTGCGTGTGTGTGTGTGCAGGCTTAGCCACACGCCCCTCTTATGTGTGTGCGCGTGTGTATGTGTGAGTGCGTGCGTGTGCGCGTGTGTATGTGTGTGCATGTGTGTGTGTGTGTGTGTATGTATGTGTGCGTGTGTGTATGTGTGCGTGCGTGTGCGTGTGTGTATGTGTGCGTGTGTGTGTGTGCATGTGTGTGTGTATGTGTGTGTATGTGTGCGTGCGTGTGTGCGCGCGTGTGTGTGCGTGTGTGTATGTGTGCGTGTGTGTATGTGTGCATGTGCGTGTGTGTGTATGTGTGTGTATGTGTGTGTGTGTGCGTGTGTGTGTGCGTGTGTGTGTGTGCAGGCTTAGCCACACGCCCCTCTTGTCTTCGTCTCCACCCCATTCCCAAAAAGCAGCAAACAGCCCTGGGACATGGATCCCACTCAGCTGGATGTACAGCCTTGACACCTGAGGCCACGGTGCACCACCTCCATCTGCCCAGTTCCCCACCCTCCCACCTCCCAGCAACCATCCCTCTTTCAGCATCCACTCATCCAACCACTGTCATCTACATGCACCAGCCAACATTCACCCACTACCCAGCAGTCACCATCCACTCTCCAACCACCAGCCACCCATCATGCACCCATCCATTACCACCCACCACTTACCAAGCATTTGTACACTATGAAAATACCCATCATCCAGCATTCATTCACTCACCATCCATCCATCCATCCATCCATCCATCCACCACCTATCCACCCATCATTCACTATATAACAACTTTCCATCAATATCTAACACCCATCTACCCACCTACCATTCACTTATACATCCACCGCATATCCGGCTGCCAACGTTAATCTACCATCTCTCGGCTGCTCATTTATCTGGATTTACCCACCACCCATCCACAAGCCTCCATCCATTCAGTCAGCCACAATTCATCCATCTACATTCACTCACCACCAGTCACTCGTAATCCCTCATCCATTCATAGTTTTATGAACTACAATCCACCAACTACCTCCCTACCAACCACCTACCACCCAACCATCTCTATTCCTATCTATCCATTCATCGTCCATCTCACAGTATCTTCTGTCTATCTATCCACCACCCAGCTATAATTCACTATTCATCCAAAACCCATTCAAGTGTCATCTACCACCCATCCATATTCATTTATTCTAGAAGATTTATGGAGTGCCTTCCATGTGCCAAGCATTATTCTAGGTGCTCAGGATAGAGTACACCATCCATCTATTCATTATTTGTGCATTATCCTCCATCCATTATTCACTGTTCATTCAATATCCATCTTCATTCATTATCCATTCACCATCCATTTGCCATCTATTTCCTCCATTTATATACTAAACCATCCATTTGCCATATACCACTCACCACTTACTATCCATCCATCTCTCCACCGTCTCCACCCCTCGCCTTTCATGAATCCCTTTTCCAAGATATTGCCATGTATCAACCATCATCCATTAATCACCTAATGATCATCTATTCATCCAGAATCCATTATCTATTCACTGTTCACCTTCCATCTCCACTTCCACAGTACACATTCCATTACCCATCCACCTAGGAACCATCCATTTATTTGCCATCTATTCCCCCATTCATGCACTATCCAGCCACCAGATACTGGTCCACCATTCATTATCCACCCATCAATTGTATACATTCACATTTATCTCTCATCTATTTACCCATTCTCTATGGATAGATCCATCACCATCATCCACCGCCTATTTATCCACCATCCATCCATACTTCTATGGTTCAGCCACCAGCCAACACCTATTACCTGCAATTAATCCACTATAGGTTCTTTCAGTATCCATCAAGTCATCAATTCTGTGTCCATATCCCCCTACCCTCCATCCAATTTACAATCTTAGCCAACTACCATTACATAGCTGCCCACCACCCACTAACTTCCATCCACCCACAATCTAGCACCTCCATCTATCATGCTCCCAGTACCTATACAACCATTATCTATACATCTATTCACCCCCACATTCTACCATTGCACCATCCATCCGTTTATTCACCTCCCCTTCCAGCCCTTCATCCCCACCAACCATCCACCTACCTAGTAGTCACCTGTTCATCAACCTGACATGCATTCTTCTATTATCCTTGTATTTTGTTCGTATGGTATCCATACACATACACATCAGCGAACCATTCTCACTTCCAACTCTCCACCACCCATCTTCATCACTCACTCATCCATCCATCCATCCATCCATCCATCCATCGTCTTACCATTCTTTTGCCCATTCATTCATAAACTAAACCTGTACTTATTGATAAATATAATATTAAACATTTATTACTAGTTCTAGTGCTGGGTTCTGGGATCATCAAGAGGAAGAAGATCCCACCCATATTCATGGTCTGATGAATTCAGGGTGTAATGGTCCACAGAGGGAACAGATGGGATAGAGACGCATCCGTGTAAACATGTACATATATTGTGTCAAAGTCCAGGTGCCTCCATCTTCTGGCCATGGGATGGCTGGAGCTCTTTGCACCAGTTCATCACGAGGAGCCTGGAGTGGGGGCGTCACAGCAGAATCAGGCGAGGCCTGATCTGGGCACAGTGTCTGTGGCGTGGGCGACCTGATGATGTGGGTGTAAAGAGAGGTGAGACCATGCCAGGCCGGAGTGGCTCAGGGTTGAGCATCCACCTATGTATCAGGAGGTCACGGTTCTATTCCTGGTCAGGGCACATGCTCAGGTTGCAGGCTTGATGCCCAGTAGGGGGTGTGCAGGAGGCAGCTGATCAATGATTCTCTCATCATTGATGTTTCTCTCTCTTCCTCTCTGAAATCAATAAAAAAATTTTTTTTTTTAAAGAGAGAGGTGAGACTGGAAAAACAGGCTGGCAGAGATCATGCATGGCTAGGACTACCTGACTGAGGAGGGTCCCTGAGGGTGGGGGCCTGAGGACACAGGGAGCGCCGGGAGGTTTTAGGCAGGCAAGTCCCCAGGCAGCTAACTTCTCAGGAGACCCCCGCTCATATACATACACTTGTCCACTCGGAAGCCCCTGAACCTTGTGGTCACAAAGCTGCAGTGGCCACTGTGGCTCTCAACACCCAGACACACAGGTGACCAGAAAGTGTGTGCTGCACGCTCCCCCTTCCACCCCTCCCCCCACAAGGCCCCCCCCCCTCCTTTC